CTTCTGTATCCCTACAGAAAAGAACAAAAAGATGGCAAGGATAACTCATCTATAAAAATCACAAAACCACCCACTGATGATATAGGTTCGGTGCCAAAGACAATCTGCTGCAGACACCTTCTCCCCATTTATAAAAGGGCCCTTCAAGAGGAGGAAAATAGTTAGTGAAGGTCATAGGGGCTACAGACCTGGGATGAGAAAAGTGCATGCATGTTGTTAATTAAATCTAGTATAATCTTCTTGACACGCTTGACAACTTTTCAAAAATGGTGGATGATAAGGGTTGAACTATAGTTAAACATATTATTTCCAAACTACACTTCTTTCAGAGTAAATAAAAAATTGTGAAGCAGTAAAGAGAGCTTAAGATAGAGAAATGGACGGCTGGTCCATTGTGTATGGACAGCTTTCCATATAAAATGGACCGTTGTCCATATAAAATGGATGGTCGTCCATACATTATGGACGACTGTCGATTATTGTGTTTCAAAATTTTATGGGCGAGCGTCCATATGAAGTGGACGCACGTCCATAGTTATTTCGGTATAAGAATTCACCCAGATTAGTGGACAATCGTCCATTTGTAATGCACGACCGTCCATAAAATATGGACAAACGTCCCTAATTAATAGGGCACCCGTCCATTAAGTAGGGATGCCCATCCATATACGTCCATTTTCATTTTCGCATGGACGAGAGTCCATTTCAAATGAACGGTACAAAATATTTCTTAACGTGCTACATGACTCATCTGACTTGAGTAACACATTATTCGGTTTAACATTTCGGTGCAAAGCGTCGATGTTCGTAGTATTACTATTTAAATTATTTAATAAAAGTTCATTGATGAAAACCAAATTCATTCTACCATTAACCAGGGGCGAACCCAGGCCCTTTGGGCCTGCCCTCAACTTTAAAAAAAAATATGTGTAAAGTTTTTTTTAAAGGTTAAGAAAAAGTAAAAAAAATATAAAAGTGAGGTTTTGTCTTTTTAAATATTAGTCTCCTGATTTTTAAAAGACACACACGGACACATATCCTTTTGATTATGAATTTATTTACCCTTGGCTTGCTTTTGTGTCAAGATACTTGGCTGGTTTGTAATAAGTTGTTCGGTTCTTGTCTTTGTGAAGACATGATTTACCCTCTGGTTTGCCTTAGTGGCTAGACATTGCTCTTTTAAATTTTGAATTTATTTTAAAACTTCCTTTCTAAACCTCACAAATTATGGGCGCCTAATCTATAAAAATGAATGGCCTCCATCTCTCATTGGATGTAATTAAATATTTAAATGTATCATATATAGTGTGTTAAATTAAAATATGGCTTATGTATCATGTATCATGTATTTAAATGTATCATGATTTGTTCATGTATCTTATTCAATAGAAAGTTAATTAAGTTGCTAAATTAATTATTTTTTTTTTTTTAATAGGAATATCTTTGACTCTTATTTTTGGGATCCCATTTTGGTACTAACTCATTATATGTTTATCAAATTTGGAATCCAAAGCATTAACAAATAAGATTATGATATCGAATTATTTCAAGAGATTGAAGAAAAGTCCAACAAAAAATGTTGATGGTGACTCTACTTAATGCCACAAGCATTACCAAGAAAAGATCAAGATCTTCTTAATGCCATGCAGTTTGTACAAATTTCGAAGCTTCGATTGCATAAATCGAGAAATGAAGACACTTGCTTTGACATATTGTTGAAAGAAGCTTATGATCTGTGTAAAGATAATGACATACCAATCCCGGAGAATATGAAAGATAATTTTGGAAGGACAAAACGAGGGATTGCACTAATTACGAATAAACATCATTTTAAGGTGGAATTGATGTACACAATTTTAGATAACATTCAAGAAAAACTCAATAATCATTTTGATGAAGTAAATATGAGGTTGTTTTAGTGTATGGCATCTCTTGATCCAAGTAACTCTTTTGCTGCATTTAACAAAGTCAAATTACTTGAGTTTGCAAAGTTTTATCCTGCTGATTTTCCTCATCACGATATTTGGTTGCTCGATAATCAACTTAAAAACTATTATGAGGATATTAGCACCAACGCCAATTTCACTCATGTTGACGGGATTGCCGATCTTGCAAAAAAAATGGTTGAGTTTAACAAGGAAGTTGCTCACGACAAAGTTTTTTTGCTTATTAAATTAGCATTGGTTTTGCCCGTGGCTACTGCAACAGTTGAAACGATGTTCTCTGCAATGAATCTTATTAAGAATACTTTGCATAATCAAATGGGAGATGAGTGGATGAACAATTGCTTAGTAGTTTACATTGAAAAGAAAGTTTTTGCTACAATTCAAAATGAAGATATCATTGAACATTTTCAGAACATAATGAGGTGGAAAATAGTGTTAAATTGAAGATCTTCAGGTATACTATTCTAACTTGCTTTCATTTTTAAATAATCAATATTTATATTATTTAGATCTTTAGATATACCATTTTAACTTGATTTTTGGGTCAATACACAGAGGATGTGTGGATCTTTAATCTAGACGTTGGGTTAGAATGTTAACGTCTGGATCTGGATTTGGAGTGATTGTAATCCATCTCTTTGTAAACCTTTATGTATTTTACTTTTGTTAGAATTGTGATTGAGCTCTAAATTTGTGTAGAATATTTTTGGTGGATTTGTGATTATTGTAAATTCTTTTGATTATATTGGATTTAAGTGGATCGTTAGATTCTCATGGTTTTTTTTTTTTTTTTTTTTTTTTTTCCCACACAAAAGGGTTTTTTCCACTAAAAATTTTCTTGTGTTTCCTTATGAATTGGAGATTATTTTCTTATGTTTCACTAATTGATTGGCAAATAGTGGCGGAGCAACAGGCCCCCCCAAACAAAATCCTGGGTCCGCCACTGCCACCAACCGTCTGTAATCATCACCCCACCAAAATTATCTCATTTTTTTTTTGTTTAACTCACTAATAAGATAAAGAATAAAGAATTTTACAAACAAAAGGAGTAGAGCCCTTCAAAAACCAAGATCCTAGAAAAAACTTCAGGGAAGGCAGCCAAAAAAAACAAAAAACAAAACCAGAAGAGCTACAAAGCCTTTGCACCAAGCAGACCAGACAACAATTAGCCTAAAGGGCACCACCAAAAGCGCCAGAAGCAGCTACACAGTCCAGGTTGAAATCCCCAGACCAAGAACAAAAATTAGAAAAAAAAAAAAAAACAACAACCCACGCAACCACAGAAAAACCTGTGGGACTGTCCATAAACAACCAGCGAAGCTCAAGAGCATTGGACAACATAGAACCAGCAGAGAAGCAGCAAAAATGAACCTGCAGCCAACAGGATACTAGAAACATACCAGTACACCCAGTAGAGCATAACCAAAACTCCATCTCCTCCATCTACTAAAATCAATCATAAACCCACGATGGAAAACACAAAAAGGCATTGGAGAGCCAAGAGGCGTGGAGAAACACAAAAAATAAAATAAAATTTTACGGGCTACCAGCGCTTTTTGTTGTGGTTGTGAAGATGAAGAGACGATTTACTGCAATGCCAAGCAGGGCCAATCGACGACGTTAAATACTGTGCCAGGCCACGCGAATCTGGTAGCTAGACTCCAGTTTGAAATGAAACGCAAACGGTTTTGAACTGAGATGAAGTGAAGATGGAAAGAAACGCAAACCTCGACGGCCAACGATGGACGGATTTGATTGTGGAAGAAGAACTGTGGTCGATCGAAAAAGAAAACCGAAGAAACCAAAGATCGAAGTTTGACTCTGGAAGAATTGTGGCCGATCAAAGAAAAGATAAAGTTACATCGTGGAAGATCGAAGAACTCAAGAAGCGATGTCGATAGGAATCGGAATTGATAAAATTAAAAGAGTCAGGGATTTAGTAAAATACAAATGTAATGATTTAGTTTTGACCCAAAACTGGTTGGACCGATGGTTTACTACCGTAATTCCGATCCAATCGCAGGTCAAAACAGGTGAGGGTGCGTTTGGCTTATTGTTTTTATCCATATTCTCAATCCTGTTCTTCAAATATTGTTTGGCACATTATTCCCAAAATATTAATCTATTTTTTTAATTACTTTTAGACCTCAAATGTTTATTAATTTCATTAGATACCCCCCAGAAAAAAGTTTAAAAACTAACAAAAACACCCCCACCCACAATACTTGCCAGATTCCAACAACCACCGCCGGTGGTTACTGAAATCTGTCACAATAGTCATCTAACCACCGAAAATAGCCGATAAAGGCCAGATCTGGCCGTCAGCGACGACCATTTCTTTGGCCGTCGTTGATAGACAACGACGACGAAAGATTTGGTCGTCGCTGACGGCGAAAGATTTGGCTGTCGCTAACGGCCAAAGATGGCCTTTTCCGACCATCGAAGGCCACAACCGACCTTAGATCTTGCCTTTTCCAGCCAAATCCACTGGTCTGTGTCATAACGCAATTTTCCGATCAGATTCCGACGGTGATAGCCGAAATCTGGCACTGCAGGTGGTAGATGTTTTTGTCGTTTTATAATATTTTAATATATTGGGGTGTTTATTAAATTAGCAAACCTTTAAGGTTTTATAATAAATTTTTAAATTTTATCTTGTGATACTCTCCTATCTAACTATCCAATACTATCCCCAAAACCTATCCAAAATAATAAACCAAACACGCCCTAAAATATTATTACCAATTTTTCACCCTAATCGCCCAGCTCAATGGCAAGTTCCCGATTAAACCGGCCAAGTTGGTTCAAGTTTTCAAACATTAGTTTTTATGACATTTAGAAGTTGATAATATTTAGCGAACTTAAAAAGGTTGATTTTATTGTTTTACTGAATTTTTTCTCTTGTTATATTCATTTGAAGCTTAAAACATTTTCATTCATTCAAAAATTTCTTCATAAATAAGTCTTAATTAAGTAAAAATCTTTGCGATGGCCCAAGTGAAAAATAAAAAAGGGAAGACTTTATCAATAGAATTCGCCAACTAAACAAAGCAATGGAGAGAAAGAAGAACAGCAAAGGGGAAACCAATAAACAATTACAAGATTTGTACAAACAGCTATAGGAATTCCAAACCGCAACAGTTGTTCATAAATACAAATACTGCGTATGTGTCTCCAGTTTAAGCAACAGAACATTATAAACTTCCTGTTTTTGTTGAGGATATTCAAACAGAAAGCTATCAAAAACAATATTAAATTTATTCGTACCACTTATTTTGCTTCTACGTGATGTTATTCATAAATTTAAAATGTTTACTTGCCGGAGCCAGCCAACCTTCGTCTAGTGGCATTAGAAACAGATACTTGACCAAGCCTGTCCCCCTCTTTTGACATCATCCGTTCATTCGGTGGCATATAATGTCTCATCCAAACCCCGGTATAAACCTGAAGGGCATAGATTAAAGCAACCAAAGAAAAAAAAGAAAGTCCTGTGTGGGTGGTGAACACTTTTTATTCACTACTAAATGAAAAGTGAGAATCCAAGACGGTGCCTGAAACAATTTTAAATTTCGAAATGGTTTTAAACTCTAGTGATCACAGTGATTATACGTTTCAACCACCTTGCACAAAAACAAACTCGTGATCTTTTACTTTTCAATATTTTTGTTTCATTTCTTGACAACCACAGAGCAAAATTTACTACCAAATCTAACCAGACTTCTCACATAAGCATGCTCTGTGGATGTATCACGCTGAGGTAGATTAAAAAATGGGTATTACAACTACAGGTGCCCTTTCTCTTCTAATCAAGATTTTTAAGTTGATCACATATAAGACCTTCATGCTCATGGATCTATGGTTTGGCCAGACACAGACATCCAAATGATCTCATTGGTCTTCAATTATATAGATAAGATAAACAAATAAACAGAATAAAAAATTATTGTTCCTACTGAATCAAAAAACAAGAGGAAATTTTCAAAATCAGGATTTAATTAAGTATGAAAAACAAACCTGCTGTGGTCTCATTATCTTCGTATCAGGATCATCGAGAGACTCTCTCCAGTGAGCCAAGTACCCAGCCATGCGGGGGATGGCAAACAGTACAGGAAAGAACTCCGTTGGAAATCCCATAGCCCTAATAACAAGTTTAATGCCTTTTAAATCCATTTTATGCTCAGAGAAAGCAACAAAGAGTATAATCAATTATAACTCGTTCTGTACCTATATATCAATCCAGAATAGAAATCAACATTTGGATATAACTTCCTTTTAACAAAATACTCATCAGATAGTGCAGCTTTCTCCAAAGCAACAGCTACCTGCAAAATAGTATTAAAGATGCATATGTGCTCAATCATAGCATACATTTCATTAGAAGCATCTATTCAAGAAAAACCACAGAGAATGAATACCAAAGAATAAACATATTATATTTAATTCAGACTACTCCCTTGACCAGAAAAAGACACAGACCTGGAATTTTCAGACACAAGACCTTAAAAAGGTTTATTCACATGGCTCTCAATTCAATTTTCAGCCAGATTATAAAATTATTTCCTCAAGAAAAATGCATCAGAGCTCATAATTTACTAATCAATTTGATCTTTGGCAGAGCATAATATCTAGACAATAATGTTGTAATAACAAGGGAATAATTGACAAATTACAGAAGACACAGCAGCAATCAGCTTTTGTTCTTTGCGGATATATATAATTTAGTGAGTTGCTTTCCTATTTCAGGGTAAAGCTAACCCTTTTTTTGTTTTTTAACTTCTTTTCCTTCAAAACTTTTGTGTGCATGAAGTAAAGGCACAAGTAGTATTGGAATATGGAAGTGGATGGTAACCCTATGTTTAAACTTATTTCTAAGCTTAAGGCCTTGAAAACAATCTCCGATTGTTAAATGAAAAGGAGTATTGGAATATATCCAAGAGGGAGAAGAAGGCTAGGGAGGAACTCATTGATTCCCAAAAGTTGTTGGGGGAAGATCCTTTTAACGAGCAGCTCATTCAAGAGGAAAAGGCCAAGGTTTCAAAGCTTTTTAAACTTTCCAAGGCCGAGGAGTCTTTAGCCAAGCAAAAGTCAAGAGTTAAATGGCCAAAAGAAGGGGATTCCAATACTTCTTATTTCTTCAAATCAGTGAATGGGTGGCGGAAAAGGAATAGAGTTGTTTCCTTGAAGTTGGGCAATGGTAGCTTTACTAATGATGTTGGGAGAATCAAGAAAGAGTTTGTGGACTTTTATGAAAATCTCTTCGGACTTTTATGAAAATCTCTTCAAAGGTAACTTGTAGGAATTTTCATGGTTTGAAAGGGTTAAGTGATCCAATCATCTCGGTTGATGAAGCTAATGGTATGGTTGCTGAAGTCTCAAGCAAGGAAATTACCAAGACAATGTTTGAGGTGAATAAAGATAAAGCTCCTGGGCCGGATGGTTTTGGTGCTCTTTTCTTTCAAAAAGCTTGGAATGTGGTGGGTGACAATGTTGTTGAGGCTATTCAGCAGCTTTTCAATTCGGGTAATAAGCTTGTTAGGGAAATCAGTTGTGCTATAATTGCCCTAGTTCCCAAAGGTGAGAACCCTTCTACTTGCAATGATTATAGGCCTATTTCTTGCTGCAATACCATCTATAAATGCATTTCTAAGATAATGGCAAATAGAATTAAAGGAGTGTTACCGAAATTCATAACTAAGGCTCAAGTAGCCTTTTGTTGGGGGAGGAAAATAGTGGATAACGTCTTACATAACCAAGAGCTGCTGCACCATTATGATAGAGGGTCAGCCAAGGAAAAGTGATGTACCCTCAAGGTGGATTTAATGAAAGCTTATGATTCAGTGAGATGGGTCATTGTTTTGGAGGTGCTTGGATTGGGTTTCCTTTAAAATTTATTCGTTGGGTGGAGTAGGGCATCACTACCCCTAGATACTCTATTGTCGTGAATGGGGAGCTTGCGGGGTTCTTTGGAGGTTCAAGTGGATTGAGGCAAGGGCACCCAATCTCCCCTTATCTTTATGTTATCTCAATGTAAGTTCTGTCTCAATTATTGGGTAGAGTGGCTGCCAAGAAGGATTTTAGGTACCATTGGAGACATAAAAATTTAAAGCTAACCCACCTTTGTTTTGCAGATGACCTTCTGCTATTTTGTCATCCTAATGAGGAGTCCCTCATTCTTATGAAGAAAGCTTTAGATGAGTTCTCATGTTGGGCAGGCCTTAAAGCTAATCATTCTAAAAGTAACATGTTCTTTTCTGGAGTTAAAGATGAAGAAAAAAAAGACCTTATTTCAATCTTTGAGTTTGTGGAGGGCACGCTCCCAATGAAGTATCTAGGTGTGCCGCTTATCACAAAGAAGATTAAGCATGCTGATTGCAAGCCATTGATAGACAAAATCTTGGCTAGAATTAGCTCAGGGAAAGGTAAGTTTCTATCCTATGCGAGGAGAGTTATTCTAATCAAATCCATCCTTTCAAGTATACAAGTCTACTGGTCCTCTATATTCGTTCTCCCGTCTAGAGTTCATAAAGATATTGATGCCAAGTTGTGAGACTTCCTTTGGTCGAGTTTGGAGATGAAAAGTAGTAAGGCCAAAGTTAGTTGGGATGAGGTGTGTGTCCTTGAGGAGGAAAGGGGCCTTGGAATTTTGAGAAGTAAAGAGTGGAACCGAGCGCCTATGATGAGACATATTTGGAATATAACTCAAGCTAAAAGTGACTCCAGTTAGGTTGAGTGGGTAAGAGAGTATTTTACTGGGCAAAAAAGTTTTCCGGACATCACAATTCCTTGCAATGCTTCTTGGGCTTGGAAAAGTATTTTGAAATTGAGGGGAAAGTTAGAGATAGGATCTTTTACATTATTGGCAATGGGGAGAAAACACACTTGTGGCATGATAATTGGCACCCCATAGGCCCCCTTGTTAGTAGGTATGGTCCTAGAATTGTTTATGATTCTAGCCTTGCTTATTATGCTAAGGTTGGGGAGATTTGTGATGGTTCTAGGTGGAAATGGTCGGTGGCAAACTCCTCGGCTCTTTTGGAAGTTAAAGGTATGGTGGATTTCTTTCCTTTGGCTAATAAAGATCATATTAGATGGAAACCAAACCCTTTGGATGCTTTTAGTATTAAGTCGGCTTAGGAAGCAACTAAGATCCACAAAGATTGGGTGGAGTGGCATCATATCTTGTGGTTCCCGAAGGCAATTCCTAGGTATTCTTTCATACTTTGGCTGGCCATTAAAGACCGAATGCAAACAAAGGATAAGCTTGTGAGGTATGGTGTTACTTCGAATGGTACTTGTTGTTTTTGTGCTAGTAATGTGGAATCAGTCGATCATCTCTTCTTCTCGTGTACCTTTACTAGAAACATGTGGTGCCAAGTTCTTGATTTATGTTAATTAGGTTATGTGGTTCGACCTTGGCATGAGTATATAAGTCATATCTCTAGTAAATATAAATCTAAAAAAATTAAGTATGTGATTGGGAAACTTTGCTTGGGAGCCACCGTGTACCATGTGTGGAGGGAAAGAAATAATAGGTACTTTTGGGAGGGGTTGTCAAGATGCTTGTTCCTTGGTGAATTTGATCAAACGGGTTGTGAGGAAGAGGGCAATGGATGTTACCAAAGTGAAGAAGTCCTTTCTTAACTCTACGGTTTCTCACAATTTGGGGCTGCCAAGATCTATTTCCAAGACTACATAGTTGGGTGGGGTATTATTGAGGTAGTGTTTGGCGTGTGGCCGCTTGGTTGGAGGCTTGGTGGAGGGATAGCTTCTGTTCAGCCCTTGGAAGGTGTTTTGGTTTTTGGGATATGGTTCATTCGAAGCTCGGTGATTGGTCGCCTTGATGGACGTGGAAGTGTTGTTTGTCTTTCTCACTTTCTCTGTTGTTTGTTTCGGCAGCCTCGTTTCAGAGGATGCATTTAGTTTGTATCCCTTGTACTTGCTTTGTATGGTTTCTAAGTGTAGTGGGATTGTTGGAGGAGGTGTGTAGTTGTTCTCCCTTTTTGATTGTTGGGGAGTGTTTTGTTTGTGGTTTGGTTTGTTTTTGGGTTTGTATTGGGTTGGGAGTTTTTGTGCTCGCGTTGTTTTGATTGTATTGGCAGCCTTGATTGAGGTGGTGCTTTGCTTGTTTTCCTTTGGTAATTAGTTGCTTGGATTAGCAATTAATTAGTAGTCGTAGTGAGTACTTGGTTCTTTTGTTCCTAACCCAAGGAGTGTCCTGTGGTAGGTTGGCCATGTTTTTACGGCCTTTATGTAAATTCTTCCTCTTTTTTCTAATGAATATTTAATTACCCCCCCAAAAAAAAAAAAAAAAAAAAAGAGAGATAAGTATATATGGAAAGCAAAAAACACCTCGATAAGAGGATCCCGACCAACAATGGAAAATACTTCCTCTGCTAGTTTCCTAATGACCTTTGCTCTGGGATCATAGTTTTTGTATACACGGTGCCCAAAACCAGACATCTTCCTCTTTCTGGAGAAAAAAATTGGTATAAGATATCAGAAAAACTAGAAAAAGAAAATTTCTACTACATATTGCATGTAGAGCAGGCCATTGAAACCTGCCCAGGAGATAGACGGACAGATGTTACCAACAGGCAACAATTACCTGTTCTTCACACCTTCAATGAACTCAGGAATATTGTCAACAGTACCTATCTCACTCAGCATCTTAAGCACGGCCTATTAGAATCAAAAAGGCGAAGGGCATTAAAGAAGAAGAGAGAAAGAGCAACTTTAACTCCTTAAAAAGTAGCATACTTCTATTGCTGTTCATTGTAAAGTTAAGTAACCACAGGACTACTGCTTCCAAGCATGAAATTTATTATGAAGAAAAAAATATGCTTACCTCATTAGCTCCACCATGAAGAGGACCATATAGGGCTCCAACAGCTCCAGCAAGAGCAGTATATACATCAACACCACTGCAAAGATAAGCAGAAAGTACATGAGAAGAATTTAAGACCGCTTCATCTCATTTGAGTTTGAGATCTATAGTGCCTACCTCGATGCAAGATGACGAGCAGCAGCTGTAGAGCAATTCATTTCATGTTCAGCATGCAGTATAAAGAGAACATCGATCACACGAGCTAGTCGAGGATTGGGTTTATATGCTCTATTGCCTCTGCAAGTTTTATGGAGGAAACTTTTTTAGTTTTAAGGTGGCCCCAAATCCCATACACAAAAAAATACTTATAAACTTTAATCAGAGCCATGGTTTGCATATCATTCTAAAGTGATATAAATTGAATTTGCACAGTTAACCAGTATATTTAAGTCAACAAAATAATTAAAAGAAAGAATGGAGAACATACAAAGAGTCAAGCATATATAGGAAGTTTTCAGCATAAGAAAGATTGCTGGAAGGCAGAACTGGAGGCCTTCCTGCCAGCCTCAAATAAGCTGCGGCCGCAATAGTGGGCGCCTACAAAGAAAACATTGATTTAAATTTAAACAGGCAACTTAAGCCGCACATTTATGACATTGATGATCAGTAACAAGTGATGAAACAAAAACAAATTCATAAAATGTATTTAGATTTAGTTTAATGAAGGGCAAAGTAAATGTAGTAAAATTGAATGAGTAAACCTTGCCAAGAATACGAGCTATTTGTTTGTCTCTCACTTGTTTTGACTTGTACAGATCTTGGCCCTGCAACAACAAAATAATACATGATCAAAATGTATAAAGACAAGCCTCACAGAACCATAAAAGAAACAATAATAATAATAATTCAAAAAAAAGCACAGGGACACGCGCGCACACACACGTATTTTAATATACATAATCATCTGGCGAAAATCTTGAATCATTAAAGACTCATGCCCTATACGGGTCACTCAACAGAAATTAAGATGCCAAAATCCATGTAACAGGTGGATACCTCTAGAAACTAGGTATTTCATTCATTAAATGCCATACTCAGCAGAAATTAAGATACCAAAATTCATGTAATAACTCCAGAAAGTAAGGTATTCCAACATAAAATGACATACTCAACAGAAATTAAGATACCAAAATTCATGTACAAGGTGGATAACTCTAGAAACTAAGGTATCCGATCGATGAAATGCCATGGGAAGATATTATTGCAAAACATCATAATGTCTACCATAAATATCTAGGGGATGAAAACGTTTACTCTATCATTTCAACCAACCACAGACACATTGTTTTTAGTCCTCAATGACTTATATCAAAGATGTAAGTATTTCCTTTTGCTGAAATTCAAGAAGTGCTCAACCAGGTGCCACACTTCAAAAAGGTGCAAACTTACCCTGAGAGCAGGATTGGCATCAGGATGAAAGACAGAAAGAGCACTCATGGCACTGACGAGCACTCCCATCGGGTGTGCGTCATGAAAGGGTTAAGTGATCCAATCATCGGTTGATGAAGCTAATGGTATGGTTGCTGAGTCTCAAGAGAGGAAATTACCAAGACAATGTTTGAGGTGAATAAAAGTAAAGCTCCTGGGCCGGATGGTTTTGGTGCTCTTTTCTTTCAAAGCTTGGAATGTGGTGGGTGACATGTTGTTGAGGATTCAGCAGCTTTTCAATTCGGGTAATAAGCTTGTTAGGGAAATCAGTTGTGCTATAATTGCCCTAGTTCCCAAAGGTGAGAACCCTTCTACTTGCAATGATTATAGGCCTATTTCTTGCTGCAATACCATCTATAAATGCATTTCTAAGATAATGGCAAATAGAATTAAAGGAGTGTTACCGAAATTCATAAATAAGGCCAAGTAGTGTTGGGGAGGAAAATAGTGGATAACGTCTTACATAACCAAGAGCTGCTGCCCATTATGATAGAGGGTCAGCCAAGGAAAAGTGATGTACCCTCAAGGTGGATTTAATGAAAGCTTACAATTCAGTTAGATGGGTCATTGTTTTGGAGGTGCTTGGATTGGGTTTCCTTTAAAATTTATTCGTTGGGTGGAGTAGTGCATCACTACCCCTAGATACTGTATTGTCGTGAATGGGGAGCTTGCGGGGCTCTTTGGAGGTTCAAGTGGATTGAGGCAAGGGCACCCAATCTCATATCTTTATGTTATCTCATGTAAGTTCTGTCTCAATTATTGGGTAGAGTGGCTGCCAGAAGGATTTTAGGTACCATTGGAGACATAAAAATTTAAGATAACCACCTTTGTTTTGCAGATGACCTTCTGCATTTTGCCATCCTAATGAGGAGTCTCTCATCTTATGAAGAAAGCTTTAGATGAGTTCTCATGTTGGGCAGGCCTTAAAGCTAATCATTCAAAAATGTAACATGTCTTTTCTGGAGTTAAAGATGAAGAAAAAAAAGACCTTATTTCAATCTTTGAGTTTGTGGAGGGCACGCTCCCAATGAAGTATCTAGGTGTGCCGCTTATCACAAAGAAGTAAGCATGCTGATTGCAAGCCATTGATAGACAAAATCTTGGCTAGAATTAGCTCAGGGAAAGGTAAGTTTCTATTATGCGAGGAGAGTTATTCTAATCAAATCCATCCTTTCAAGTATACAGTCTACTAGTCCTCTATATTCATTCTCCCGTCTAGGTTCATAAAGATATTGATGCAAGTTGTGAGACTCCTTTGGTCGAGTTTGGAGATGAAAAGTAGTAAGCCCAAAGTTAGTTGGGGAGGTGTGTGTCCTTAAGGAGGAAAGGGGCCTTGGAATTTTGAGAAGTAAAGAGTGGAACCGAGCGCCTATGATGAGACATATTTGGAATATAACTCAAGCTAAAAGTGACTCTAGTTGGGTTGAGTGGGTAAGAGAGTATTTTACTGGGCAAAAAAGTTTTCCGGACATCACAATTCTTGCATGCTTCTTGGGCTTGGAAAGTATTTTGAAATTGAGGGGAAAGTTAGAGATAGGATCTTTTACATTATGGCAATGGGGAGAAACACCTGTGGCATGATAATTGGCACCCCAGAGGCCCCCTTGTTAGTAGGTATGGTCCTAGAATTGTTTATGATTCTAGCCTTCCTTATTATGCTAAGGTTGGGAGATTTGTGATGGTTCTAGGTGGAAATGGTCGGTGGCAAACTCCTCGGCTTTTTGGAAGTTAAAGGTATGGTGGATTTCTTTCCTTTGGCTAATAAAGATCGTATTAGATGGAAACCAACCCTTTGGATGCTTTTAGTATTAAGTGGCTTAGGAAGAACTAAGATCCACAAAGATTGGGTGGAGTGGCATCATATTGTAGTTCCCGAAGGCAATTCCTATGGATTCTTTCATACTGGCTGGCCATTAAAGACACGATGCAACAAAGGTAAGCGTGAGGTTGGTGTTACTTCGAATGGTACTTGTTGTTTTTGTGCTAGTAATGTGGAATCAGTCGATCATCTCTTCTTCTATGTACCTTTACTAGAAACATGTGGTGCCAAGTTCTTGATATGTTAATGGTTATGTGGTCGACCTTGGCATGAGATATAAGTCATATCTATAGTAAATATAAACTAAAAAAATTATGTATGTGATTGGGAAACTTTGCTTGGAGGCCACCATGACCTGGTGAGGGAAAGAAATAATGGTACTTGGGAGGGTTGTCAAGATGCTGTTCCTTGGTGAATTTGATCAAACGGGTTGTGAGGAAGAGGGCAATGGATCTTACCAAGTGAAGAAGTCCTTCTTAACTCTACGGTTTCTCACAATTTGGGGCTGCCAAGATCTATTTCCAAGACTACATAGTTGGGTGGGGTATTATTGAGGTAGTGTTTGGCGTGGCCCTTGGTTGGAGGCTGGTGGAGGGATAGCTTCGTTCAGCCTTGGAAGGTGTTTTGGTTTTTGGGATATGGTTCATTCGAAGCTCGGTGATTGGTCGCCTTGATGGAGGTGGAGTGTGAAACATTAGTTTTTATGACATTTAGAAGTTGATAATATTTAGCGAACTTAAAAAGGTTGATTTTATTGTTTTACTGAATTTTTTCTCTTGTTATATTCATTTGAAGCTTAAAACATTTTCATTCATTCAAAAATTTCTTCATAAATAAGTCTTAATTAAGTAAAAATCTTTGCGATGGCCCAAGTGAAAAATAAAAAAGGGAAGACTTTATCAATAGAATTCGCCAACTAAACAAAGCAATGGAGAGAAAGAAGAACAGCAAAGGGGAAACCAATAAACAATTACAAGATTTGTACAAACAGCTATAGGAATTCCAAACCGCAACAGTTGTTCATAAATACAAATACTGCGTATGTGTCTCCAGTTTAAGCAACAGAACATTATAAACTTCCTGTTTTTGTTGAGGATATTCAAACAGAAAGCTATCAAAAACAATATTAAATTTATTCGTACCACTTATTTTGCTTCTACGTGATGTTATTCATAAATTTAAAATGTTTACTTGCCGGAGCCAGCCAACCTTCGTCTAGTGGCATTAGAAACAGATACTTGACCAAGCCTGTCCCCCTCTTTTGACATCATCCGTTCATTCGGTGGCATATAATGTCTCATCCAAACCCCGGTATAAACCTGAAGGGCATAGATTAAAGCAACCAAAGAAAAAAAAGAAAGTCCTGTGTGGGTGGTGAACACTTTTTATTCACTACTAAATGAAAAGTGAGAATCCAAGACGGTGCCTGAAACAATTTTAAATTTCGAAATGGTTTTAAACTCTAGTGATCACAGTGATTATACGTTTCAACCACCTTGCACAAAAACAAACTCGTGATCTTTTACTTTTCAATATTTTTGTTTCATTTCTTGACAACCACAGAGCAAAATTTACTACCAAATCTAACCAGACTTCTCACATAAGCATGCTCTGTGGATGTATCACGCTGAGGTAGATTAAAAAATGGGTATTACAACTACAGGTGCCCTTTCTCTTCTAATCAAGATTTTTAAGTTGATCACATATAAGACCTTCATGCTCATGGATCTATGGTTTGGCCAGACACAGACATCCAAATGATCTCATTGGTCTTCAATTATATAGATAAGATAAACAAATAAACAGAATAAAAAATTATTGTTCCTACTGAATCAAAAAACAAGAGGAAATTTTCAAAATCAGGATTTAATTAAGTATGAAAAACAAACCTGCTGTGGTCTCATTATCTTCGTATCAGGATCATCGAGAGACTCTCTCCAGTGAGCCAAGTACCCAGCCATGCGGGGGATGGCAAACAGTACAGGAAAGAACTCCGTTGGAAATCCCATAGCCCTAATAACAAGTTTAATGCCTTTTAAATCCATTTTATGCTCAGAGAAAGCAACAAAGAGTATAATCAATTATAACTCGTTCTGTACCTATATATCAATCCAGAATAGAAATCAACATTTGGATATAACTTCCTTTTAACAAAATACTCATCAGATAGTGCAGCTTTCTCCAAAGCAACAGCTACCTGCAAAATAGTATTAAAGATGCATATGTGCTCAATCATAGCATACATTTCATTAGAAGCATCTATTCAAGAAAAACCACAGAGAATGAATACCAAAGAATAAACATATTATATTTAATTCAGACTACTCCCTTGACCAGAAAAAGACACAGACCTGGAATTTTCAGACACAAGACCTTAAAAAGGTTTATTCACATGGCTCTCAATTCAATTTTCAGCCAGATTATAAAATTATTTCCTCAAGAAAAATGCATCAGAGCTCATAATTTACTAATCAATTTGATCTTTGGCAGAGCATAATATCTAGACAATAATGTTGTAATAACAAGGGAATAATTGACAAATTACAGAAGACACAGCAGCAATCAGCTTTTGTTCTTTGCGGATATATATAATTTAGTGAGTTGCTTTCCTATTTCAGGGTAAAGCTAACCCTTTTTTTGTTTTTTAACTTCTTTTCCTTCAAAACTTTTGTGTGCATGAAGTAAAGGCACAAGTAGTATTGGAATATGGAAGTGGATGGTAACCCTATGTTTAAACTTATTTCTAAGCTTAAGGCCTTGAAAACAATCTCCGATTGTTAAATGAAAAGGAGTATTGGAATATATCCAAGAGGGAGAAGAAGGCTAGGGAGGAACTCATTGATTCCCAAAAGTTGTTGGGGGAAGATCCTTTTAACGAGCAGCTCATTCAAGAGGAAAAGGCCAAGGTTTCAAAGCTTTTTAAACTTTCCAAGGCCGAGGAGTCTTTAGCCAAGCAAAAGTCAAGAGTTAAATGGCCAAAAGAAGGGGATTCCAATACTTCTTATTTCTTCAAATCAGTGAATGGGTGGCGGAAAAGGAATAGAGTTGTTTCCTTGAAGTTGGGCAATGGTAGCTTTACTAATGATGTTGGGAGAATCAAGAAAGAGTTTGTGGACTTTTATGAAAATCTCTTCGGACTTTTATGAAAATCTCTTCAAAGGTAACTTGTAGGAATTTTCATGGTTTGAAAGGGTTAAGTGATCCAATCATCTCGGTTGATGAAGCT